TCATCATCGCTCTGACTCCGTCCTCTTCATCTTCATCATCGCTCTGACTCCGTCCTCTTCTTCATCATCGCTCTGACTCCGTCCTCTTCATCATCGCTCTGACTCCGTCCTCTTCATCTTCATCATCGCTCTGACTCCGTCCTCTTCTTCATCATCGCTCTGACTCCGTCCTCTTCATCATCGCTCTGACTCCGTCCTCTTCATCTTCATCATCGCTCTGACTCCGTCCTCTTCATCTTCATCATCGCTCTGACTCCGTCCTCTTCTTCATCATCGCTCTGACTCCGTCCTCTTCATCATCGCTCTGACTCCGTCCTCTTCTTCGTCATCGCTCTGACTCCGTCCTCTTCATCATCGCTCTGACTCCGTCCTCTTCTTCGTCAGGAATTGAAATCTCACCTCTTTGTGTCGCTGTGACTTTAAATCAGTTTTGGTGTCAGTGTGACCAGCAGCTCTTTCCTCGGGGCAGCTGAGTCTGACCTTTGACCCCCGGAGGCATCGCCTGTAAAGCCGCCGTGTTGATGATGACAAAGGTGAAGACAAACAGCTGACGGTCTGTTTTTCCCTCGACGGCTGGATAATCAACCTGCAGCTCAGATCAGTCTGTTAATCCCACTGAAGAAAATCTTTAATTCGTCCTCGCAGGCGCCCAAATTTACCAGTAAGTGTTTTTTAATCTGAAATCTGAACAGATGTCGGTCTGCTGCAAATCACTGCTGCTCAGGAGCGCTGCTCCAGCCTTCACTCTGCCGGCGCTGACAACTCATTTCAACCTGTTTCTTATTTCAGTGCTTTGGTAGAGATACGTGTCTGCAGTGGGAACAATGAAGAGATAAAGCAGGTCAATGCACTTTCTGCACAGATCAGACACACATGAATCTTTCTGTATTTCCCATCAGTGACTTTAAATTGGCTTCTACACGTTGAAATGATGGGAAGCAACATTTCACTAAGCTCTGGGTTAAAAGAGGACAACTAACACGACGTTAAAGAGAATAAATTAGTTATTCAGATGGAGATTTCATCAGCGGATGTTAGAGAGGCTCCTTTCAGGAAGGAAGGTGACACTTGATTCTTTAGAGTTTAGATTAGTATCAACACTGTAAGGTAGATAGAGACGACAGACGAGGAGAGAGGTGAAGCATCCAGTCTGTACTCTCACACATTGTGACACATCCTACCTCTTTATCGAGAGATCCTCCACCTCTCTAACCCCACGTAAACGAGGGAGTGATGTGTTGTTGGAGAGGCGGAGGACTCTCTCGTTAACGTGGCGTTGTAGCCCCACATTCCTCAGAGCCTCACCTCCAGCAGCAGAAGGTCAGGGCCCGCCGTTCCCTCCCCGAACGTGACGCTCCATCTGTGCCCAACTGCCGGCGTTTGGCACCCGACTCGGGCATCTGCCACCTGCGCCGGCTGCCAGCTCGGCGTACACGCAGACATCTGCTGCGTTCGTGCTGGAGGGGCGCGCTCAGTCAGCGCAACAACACACAGACGGCCAAACAATGTCCTGAGCGGCTCTCCGACAACCTGCTGCCCTGTTCGACTGCAGGCCATCAGGGCGGACACGGCTTCACCTGCAGAGACTCAAACACAAACAGGATCAACAGATGAACCGGGCGCCGTATTTGGCTCTGATGAAGGTGTTAAAGGCCAGATTTAGCCTAAATGAGCGGAAACAAGACAGTTTGAGCGCCGGAGGGACACAAACTAAATACTGTCCTCTGTTTTTAACACAAACATTTTGAAATGTTGCTGCTAATGTTTTAGATCCCAGTGTGGTTATTATGTACACACTGAGTATCAAATACTTACCGAGTACCCACATAAGGAATAAGATTTTAATAATAATACAGGGAATACTATTATATTAATGACCTGGTAGATATTAAACATTACAGAAGGGACCACAAACACCAAACGTACTATGCAATAATGACATTATCTCTCACGTGTTAGTGGACTGACACCAAAAAGTATGCGTCACTACCTCTGCTGGAACTCTAAAACTCACTACAGTTATATATAGTGACTACTAACAGTACTTCACACACTGTACAATGTCTTATATACTTGGTGGAGGTGATCTGAGGACTTTTTCCACTACTGCTTTATACCAACATTTTCAATTAGAAAAAAGGAAATGAAAAAACAAGTGGAGGCCCCACCCTGGGGTCCCCGAGGGCCCCCAAACCACTAAATCCTAATGGAGTCTGTGGTTTGAATATTTGACTCAGTGGAAACAACACAGAGCTTTAATGAAGAGCTGCAACAACATGATCCACAGTATGTGATCATATATTATACTGCTGTCAGACAGGGTGGGGTGAGAGGAAACCTGTACGTAAAGAGCACAAAACAACCTCCGCCTCACAGGGACACAGACGGGACAGAACTTCCTGTCTGATCTGAACAGTTCGATTGGTGCTGAATCTCAACAGTGAAATATTTAATCTGGCACAAAGGACATGATTCATTCATTAGTTTTGCCGTTGGTGGCGGACATATTGTTGATGCCCCTCAGCCGCTCACTGTGGACAGATGGCTGAGAGGCTGTCATTAATTTAAAACAGGCAGAAATGTTACAGACGCTGGTCTGAATCTGCTGAATCACTGCATCTAAACACAACGCAGCCTTTTATTCTGAAAGTCTCAACAATCTACTTTAAAACATCAATCAATAATTAAAAGAATTAGAATGTCAGCTGAAGCAGCGTGATGTTTATGAAGGTGTGCGAAGGTTTATGAAGGTGTGCGAAGGTGTGTGAAGGTGTCTGAAGGTGTGTGAAGGTGTCTGAAGGTGTGTGAAGGTGTCTGAAGGTGTGTGAAGGTGTGCGAAGGTTTATGAAGGTGTGCGAAGGTTTATGAAGGTGTGCGAAGGTGTGTGAAGGTGTCTGAAGGTGTGTGAAGGTATGCGAAGGTTTATGAAGGTGTGTGAAGGTATGCGAAGGTTTATGAAGGTGTGTGAAGGTGTGTGAAGGTGTGCAAAGGTTTATGAAGGTGTGCGAAGGTGTGTGAAGGTGTCTGAAGGTGTGTGAAGGTGTCTGAAGGTGTGTGAAGGTATGCGAAGGTTTATGAAGGTGTGTGAAGGTATGCGAAGGTGTGAAGGTGTGCGAAGGTTTATGAAGGTGTGTGAAGGTATGCGAAGGTGTGAAGGTGTGCAAAGGTTTATGAAGGTGTGTGAAGGTGTGTGAAGGTGTCTGAAGGTGTCTGAAGGTGTGTGAAGGTGTGTGAAGGTGTCTGAAGGTGTGTGAAGGTATGCGAAGGTTTAGGAAGGTGTGTGAAGGTGTCTGAAGATGTGTGAAGGTGTGCAAAGGTTTATGAACATGTGTGAAGGTGTCTGAAGGTGTGTGAAGGTGTGCAAAGGTTTATGAACATGTGTGAAGGTGTCTGAAGGTGTGTGAAGGTGTGCAAAGGTTTATGAACATGTGTGAAGGTATGCGAAGGTGTGAAGGTGTGCAAAGGTTTATGAAAATGTGTGAAGGTGTGCAAAGGTTTATGAACATGTGCGAAGGTGTGCAAAGGTTTATGAAAATGTGCGAAGGTGTGCAAAGGTTTATGAACATGTGCGAAGGTGTGCAAAGGTTTATGAACATGTGCGAAGGTGTGCAAAGGTTTATGAACATGTGCGAAGGTGTGCAAAGGTTTATGAACATGTGCGAAGGTGTGCAAAGGTTTATGAAAATGTGTGAAGGTGTGCAAAGGTATCCAAAGGTTTATGAAGGTGTGCGAAGGTCTGTGAAGGTTTATGAACATGTGCGAAGGTGTGCAAAGGTTTATGAACATGTGCGAAGGTGTGCAAAGGTTTATGAACATGTGCGAAGGTGTGCAAAGGTTTATGAACATGTGCGAAGGTGTGCAAAGGTTTATGAAAATGTGCGAAGGTGTGCAAAGGTTTATGAACATGTGCGAAGGTGTGCAAAGGTTTATGAACATGTGCGAAGGTGTGCAAAGGTTTATGAAAATGTGCGAAGGTGTGCAAAGGTTTATGAACATGTGCGAAGGTGTGCAAAGGTTTATGAACATGTGCGAAGGTGTGCAAAGGTTTATGAACATGTGCGAAGGTGTGCAAAGGTTTATGAAAATGTGCGAAGGTGTGCAAAGGTTTATGAACATGTGCGAAGGTGTGCAAAGGTTTATGAAAATGTGCGAAGGTGTGCAAAGGTTTATGAACATGTGCGAAGGTGTGCAAAGGTTTATGAAAATGTGTGAAGGTGTGCAAAGGTTTATGAACATGTGCGAAGGTCTGTGAAGGTTTATGAACATGTGTGAAGGTGTGCAAAGGTTTATGAACATGTGCGAAGGTGTGCAAAGGTTTATGAAAATGTGTGAAGGTGTGCAAAGGTTTATGAACATGTGTGAAGGTGTCTGAAGGTGTGCGAAGGTGTGTGAATGTAGCACACAGGAAGGATTATGGGTAGGGCCGTGATCTGATTGGTTGGTTAAGTCGGTTGGTTCGGCTGCTGGAGCAAAAGTGAGGTGTTTAAAATGAGACTCAGAGACCAAGGATTAGATGTAAGATGGTGCCGGCTTCTTATATTTGAAGATATGTATAAAAATAAAAATATTGGTTGGTACCAAAAATGAAAAAGTACAATAATAAAAGTAATGAATAAGGCGATTACTGATATCACAATCAGGCTATGACTTCAGCATGAAATGCTTGCTTTCCAAATTTAGTATTAGTTGAGTATTTCACTCTTTGAAGTAGTTCTATAATTAAATTCCCGGGTGCACCCTTTAACCTGAATTTCTGTTAATAACACCACATTCAAGTTTGTTCAGATCCAGTTCAATAATACAATCCAATAGAATTCACACAGCACAACAGTAACCCTTAACTGCAGGAATGATTCCTACTACTCAGCTCCAAATTCTCAGTCCCAAGGTGTGAACAGGCGAGTTTGTTTAAGTGAGTCCAAAGTCCAAACAAAAAATGGATGTGTCGAAGGTAAGTCAGAGTTCAGAGTTCCATAGGGTTGGTGTATGTGTGTGTGTGGGGGAAGGAGTGTGAAGGTGAGTGACGGGGTTGTGTGTTGTAGTGGGGCCTACCACACCGCAAAGTGCAGTAGTAGCGGGATGGTCCAGTGATCCTGAAGAGGGAATGGCTCCCACAATCATTCAAGAGGGACGGCTCGCCATCAGTTTTCATCCGCAGATCCAGAAGAAACACACACACACACACAAAAAAAAACCCTGACCTGTCAACAGACAGGGTCAGAGAAATATTCACTGCTTAAGTCTCATGCAATAATATACACTACATGAAATTCACAATACACAATGATATACATACTGTGGGTGTTTACTTTCTGTGCCTCTCTCTCAAAATTCAGCATATAAACATAAATAACTTGGCTGCACACAACCAGATAAGCTGCAAGTTAGAACAATTAAAGTTTTGATGCAAGTGCAAAATAAAGTAAGCTGAGTTTACACATTAAACAACACAGTAAACCAGCTTGTTCAACTAAAATTGTAGCTTCATATTCACTAAGTGCACATAAATAATTTAAGGTACAAAGTAAGAAATTCTTAAGTAGAAAATGAACATTCTCACCGATTTCACCAGAGCGGCTGGACACACACACCCAAAATGGCGGCGCCCAGTAAAGCCACAAGGTCTTCTAAAACCGAAACATTCGAGACCGTATGCGACTTTCAGTACTTTCTCTCAGTGCAAAATAAATTAGCTTTCACAGTAAGGTGATAAAGAATGAACAAAAGCAGTTTTAAATGAATTACCTCGCTCTTGAATCAGCAAAGACTGCGCGTGGCGGGAAATCCTACGGACATCAAAGCTACCGACGCTGCTAGTCTCTCAAGCGCTACATCTAAACACTGAACTTACAGCTAAACTCTCACAGCAGTTAGCTACCACGTTTGTAGTGCTGAAGTTAGCCTCAGTGTAGTTCGTTTTTAGCTGTATTTTCTCCAGGTTTCTCCGTTTTTCACAGGTTTCATCCTCTACAGCAGCACTTCTGTCTCTCCACACACAGCAGCGGGGGAAAAAAACTTTCGCTCGCTCCCAGAGACGCGGGAGCAGGTGGGCGGGCCTACCTGCTGTCAGCTGATTGGCCAAACTAACCTGTCGGTCTATTTTGCCCTGGTAACTGAATTTTAACCCTTTAAAATCCTTAGATAATCTCTCAAGTTGCATTTCAAAAATAAAATCACTCATTCAGATTTTTATAGGCTTTTCCTATTTTTAAACCTAGATCATTTCATCTGTGTTACATGAAGGTGTCTGAAGGTGTCTGAAGGTGTCTGAAGGTGTGTGAAGGTATGCGAAGGTTTATGAAGGTGTGTGAAGGTATGCGAAGGTTTATGAAGGTATGCGAAGGTGTCTGAAGGTGTGTGAAGTTATGCGAAGGTTTATGAAGGTGTCTGAAGGTGTCTGAAGGTGTGTGAAGTTATGCGAAGGTTTATGAAGGTGTGTGAAGGTATGCAAAGGTTTATGAAGGTGTCTGAAGGTGTCTGAAGGTGTGTGAAGTTATGCGAAGGTTTATGAAGGTGTGTGAAGGTATGCGAAGGTTTATGAAGGTGTCTGAAGGTGTGTGAAGGTATGCGAAGGTTTATGAAGGTGTGTGAAGGTATGCGAAGGTTTATGAAGGTATGCGAAGGTTTATGAAGGTATGCGAAGGTTTATGAAGGTGTGTGAAGGTATGCGAAGGTTTATGAAGGTATGCGAAGGTTTATGAAGGTGTGTGAAGGTATGCGAAGGTTTATGAAGGTATGCGAAGGTGTCTGAAGGTGTGTGAAGGTATGCGAAGGTTTATGAAGGTGTGTGAAGGTGTCTGAAGGTGTGTGAAGTTATGCGAAGGTTTATGAAGGTGTGTGAAGGTTTATGAAGGTGTGTGAAGGTATGCGAAGGTTTATGAAGGTATGCGAAGGTTTATGAAGGTGTGTGAAGGTATGCGAAGGTTTATGAAGGTATGCGAAGGTGTCTGAAGGTGTGTGAAGGTGTCTGAAGGTGTGTGAAGGTGTCTGAAGGTGTGTGAAGTTATGCGAAGGTTTATGAAGGTGTGTGAAGGTATGCGAAGGTTTATGAAGGTGTCTGAAGGTGTGTGAAGGTATGCGAAGGTTTATGAAGGTATGCGAAGGTGTCTGAAGGTGTGTGAAGGTGTGTGAAGGTATGCGAAGGTTTATGAAGGTGTGTGAAGGTATGCGAAGGTTTAGGAAGGTGTGTGAAGGTGTCTGAAGATGTGTGAAGGTGTGCAAAGGTTTATGAAGGTGTGTGAAGGTGTCTGAAGGTGTGTGAAGGTATGCGAAGGTTTATGAAGGTATGCGAAGGTGTCTGAAGGTGTCTGAAGGTGTGTGAAGGTATGCGAAGGTGTCTGAAGGTGTGTGAAGGTATGCGAAGGTTTATGAAGGTATGCGAAGGTGTCTGAAGGTGTCTGAAGGTGTCTGAAGGTATGCGAAGGTTTATGAAGGTGTGTGAAGGTATGCGAAGGTTTAGGAAGGTGTGTGAAGGTGTCTGAAGATGTGTGAAGGTGTGTGAAGGTATGCGAAGGTTTAGGAAGGTGTGTGAAGGTGTCTGAAGATGTGTGAAGGTGTGTGAAGGTGTGTGAAGGTGTCTGAAGGTGTGTGAAGGTATGCGAAGGTTTATGAAGGTGTGTGAAGGTATGCGAAGGTTTATGAACATGTGTGAAGGTGTCTGAAGGTGTGTGAAGGTGTGCAAAGGTTTATGAACATGTGTGAAGGTATGCGAAGGTGTGAAGGTGTGCAAAGGTTTATGAAGGTGTGCGAAGGTGTGTGAAGGTGTCTGAAGGTGTGTGAAGGTATGCAAAGGTTTATGAACATGTGTGAAGGTGTCTGAAGGTGTGTGAAGGTGTGCAAAGGTTTATGAACATGTGTGAAGGTATGCGAAGGTGTGAAGGTGTGCAAAGGTTTATGAAGGTGTGCGAAGGTGTGTGAAGGTGTCTGAAGGTGTGTGAAGGTGTCTGAAGGTGTGTGAAGGTGTCTGAAGGTGTGTGAAGGTATGCGAAGGTGTGAAGGTGTGCAAAGGTTTATGAAGGTGTGTGAAGGTGTCTGAAGGTGTCTGAAGGTGTGTGAAGGTGTCTGAAGGTGTGTGAAGGTATGCGAAGGTTTATGAAGGTGTGTGAAGGTATGCGAAGGTTTAGGAAGGTGTGTGAAGGTGTCTGAAGATGTGTGAAGGTGTGCAAAGGTTTATGAACATGTGTGAAGGTATGCGAAGGTGTGAAGGTGTGCAAAGGTTTATGAACATGTGTGAAGGTATGCGAAGGTGTGAAGGTGTGCAAAGGTTTATGAAGGTGTGTGAAGGTGTCTGAAGGTGTCTGAAGGTGTGTGAAGGTGTCTGAAGGTGTGTGAAGGTGTCTGAAGGTGTGTGAAGGTATGCGAAGGTTTATGAAGGTGTGTGAAGGTATGCGAAGGTTTAGGAAGGTGTGTGAAGGTGTCTGAAGATGTGTGAAGGTGTGCAAAGGTTTATGAACATGTGTGAAGGTGTCTGAAGGTGTGTGAAGGTGTGCAAAGGTTTATGAACATGTGTGAAGGTATGCGAAGGTGTGTGAAGGCAAATGTTTATGAAGGTATGTGAAGGTGTGCAAAGGTTTATGAACATGTGTGAAGGTATGCGAAGGTGTGAAGGTGTGCAAAGGTTTATGAAGGTGTGCGAAGGTGTGTGAAGGTGTCTGAAGGTGTGTGAAGGTGTGCGAAGGTTTATGAAGGTTTATGAAGGTGTGTGAAGGTATGCGAAGCTGTGCAAAGGTTTATGAACATGCCTGAAGGTGTGAAGGTGTATGAAGGTGTGAAGGTGTGAAGGTGTGCAAAGGTTTATGTCCTGTGTGAAGGTGTGTGAAGGTGTGCAAAGGTTTATGAAGGTGTGCGAAGGTGTGTGAAGGTGTCTGAAGGTGTGTGAAGGTGTGCAAAGGTTTATGAAGGTGTGCGAAGGTTTATGAAGGTGTGTGAAGGTATGCGAAGGTGTGTGAAGGCAAATGTTTAAGAAGGCATGTGAAGGTGTGCGAAGGTTTATGAAGGTGTGTGAAGGTATGCGAAGGTGTGCGAAGGTGTGCAAAGGTTTATGAAGGTGTGTGAAGGTGTGTGAAGGTTTATGAAGGTGTGTGAAGGTATGCGAAGGTGTGCGAAGGTGTGCAAAGGTTTATGAAGGTGTGTGAAGGTGTGTGAAGGTGTCTGAAGGTGTGTGAAGGTATGCGAAGGTGTGAAGGTGTGCAAAGGTTTATGAAGGTGTGTGAAGGTGTGTGAAGGTGTGTGAAGGTGTGTGAAGGTTCATGAACATGTGTGAAGGTGTGCGAAGGTTTATGAAGGTGTGTGAAGGCAAATGTTTATGAAGGTATGTGAAGGTGTGCAAAGGTTTATGAAGGTATGCGAAGGTGTGAAGGTGTGCAAAGGTTTATGAAGGTGTCTGAAGGTGTGTAAAGGTATCTGAAGGTGTGTGAAGGTGTGCAAAGGTTTATGAAGGTGTGCGAAGGTGTCTGAAGGTGTGTGAAGGTGTGCAAAGGTTTATGAAGGTGTGCGAAGGTGTGTGAAGGTTTATGAACATGTGTGAAGGTATGCGAAGGTGTGAAGGTGTGCAAAGGTTTATGAAGGTGTGTGAAGCGTGTTAAGGTATGAAGGTGTGAGATTAAGCTTTTATAAAGCCAAACGGAAAACAGCAACTTGAGCTCAGGGTCCAGGTGAGTCTTTTAAAAGTCAACAAAGTGAGTCTGAAGTGCTGAAACGCAGCTTCATCACAGATCAGCAGAGCTCTGGGAGCATTTTTAGGAAACATGACTCTGATCCTCAGAGGACGCGGAGAACATTAGTCATGTCGAGCGGCAGCATTAGTGACTGATTTATGGTCTGTGATGACAGCAGGCCATTAACGCTCCCTGCTGAGCTGCGTTCACTAACACACTGCTGCAGGAAGTGACACCACAAACACAACAGGAGAGCCACACCTCTCAAAACCAAATGCTACACAACTGACACACAACTACACACTAACTCTGTGTGAAGTTTGCGGGCGACACCTCCATCATCATCGGCCGGATTTCAAACAACGATGAGACTTCGGGATGTCGGGAAGAAATTGACAATATTGCAGAGTGGTGCTAAGAGAACAACCTGCTGCTCAACGTCACATCTAGAAGCACTTTAAAAAATACAAACTAAACCTAACAGCAGTAGAAACGTCAGCTGTCCACATACTTTTGGCCGCGTAGCGTAACTTCACTGTTAGGAAACATTAATAATCATAATATTGTTGAATCAGCCTGCAGTTTGTTTCTGTGAGATCTGAAACAGTGACACACTGACTGAATCACATCCTCACTGCTGAACATCTAATCCCATCACAAACACACCGAGACACTGCAGGCTGCCCCCCCTCCCCCAATCAAGGCAAATATTAGCAGAAAGCAAATAATCCTGCAGGTTGGGATTAAGATTTTAAATGGATCCCAATTGTGTGCTTTTTGGTTAATGAATAACAAAGTCTTGGAGGACGGCGCCTGTAATTTATTAAACATGAAAAGCTCCTTGATGAAATATAGAAACTGGATGTTTTTGCATTTCAAACGATTTGCATGGCCAGCTAGCTCGCATGCTAATGAGGCCCGAGTTTCAAAGAGTTATAAAAAGAAATGAGTTGGTAAGTGAATTCCCCTGTTTGACAGAAAAAGGTGTCAGAGAGTCGAGTTCTAACCTACAAACACTGCGGGAGACAATGCAGGGAGTTTCTTCACTCGGAGTGAACATCTGAAGGTCTCATCCTCACAGCTCAGACGTTCACTCTGATCGATCATCTGCTCACAAACAGGAGGGACATTTATCAAACTGGGTAACATTCCCCCACAGGAAGGAGTGCCAGGGCAGCGAGAGCGAGCCTGGCGTCACTCGGGATAATGTCCATCGGGCCGCTCTGGTTCACGCCTGGTTCACGCCTGGTTCTCAGCATGGAGAGTGTACGCACGGCAAACGCTGCTGGAGGCGACGCCCGTGGAGTCTATCTAAGGCAAACATAACGAGTGGCGTGATGAGATTTTACAGCCTGGAGACGGGATGCTGCTGTATTTAGAAATAAAGCTTTTGGAAATTAGGTATTTTTCTCTTTCCTGTCACAACGTTCTCGCTCCCAGGTCGACGGTGGACCAGGAACCGGACTTTCAGTCAGGAGGCCGGTGTTCTTTTCCTGTGTGAAACAAAAGGTCAACACTGATGTTTTTATTTAGGTTTCGTGACTTTACTGATGTGAGTAAACCTTTTTCAAAACCGAAC